TAACAGCTGATCGGTCCATTGTTGCCAGCTGTAAACCTAACCTAACAGCAGCGCTACATTTATGGCGCTGTAATAGCACGGTTGTCGGGAATATTTTATCAGCTCTGGGCAAAAACTGGACGTCGTTGGGTTAAAACACCGCTGCTTCCCGGTGGCTGGCTAGATGGATGTGACAGATGGAAAATCGTTCGACAAGTTCAAGCATGATGATAAAAGCTCAGTGGTCTTAATCAAAGGTGACATTTTGGCTTAAGTGTACGAATTTCAGCCAAAAGATTTTCGTATTGGATTTTCCTATAAATGCTTTTAGGCCTCAACATCTGTTGTAATGTTTGTTTGTCATGTTTTTGGATCAGAGGTGAAATATGTTTATGGTTATGTTATTCGTTTTTTTCTTAAGAGTGATAATGAAAACGATCAAATATCGGCAAAAGACGTTTGAAATAGAATCTCCTATTGCCTATAACATGGCTTTCGATGCAGTTTTAGTAATCTTTTTCTACTTTTTAACAAAACTTTCTAACTTTTTCAATAAAAGACTCAATATTAATGACATTGATCTTGAAATAGTGGGACGAAATTATTCATAATAAATATCCAATCTTAAATTATTCATTCATACAAAAGTCAATGTGATTAGCCATAATTTTATTGTTGTAATTTCTATAGAGGGTAAAATTAATTGAGAGGATTATCTAGCTTTACTGCTGACTAAGATCAGTGGTTTCTTCACTCAGTTTCACTTTAAGCTGTAATCAATGACAGACGGGCAGTTTCATAAAAAAGCTACCGGGTTTTCTTATGTGATCTTTTGATTGATAGGTAAGCAATATACTCGGATACCCAGCTATATTTAACAAACCGAGCAATTAATATTCAGAATAAGTGTTCAATGTACAAACAATAAATAGTTTAAGACACAAATATTGCAGCAAAATATTCTTAGTATTCAATGTAATAAGTTTTCAATGAACAATCAAATAATGCTCCTAACCGGGTACTAAGTACTTGACTCGTTTTGTCAAGATACTAACCGAGTATTTTGCCCAGTAATCAATGTACTAAAATATAATCGTTGAAACTGACCAAGAATGTCTTCACATCCCAGATAGTGTACAAAGACGTCACAGCTGTACTGGAAGCCATATTTGAATTCGCCGCCGCTGCCTCCTCTCGGTCAACAGTCGGAAATTGGCCAGTTTTTCCAACGTGAACGACGCCAATGTGCTACTGTCAAGGTCGTAGTCTGTCATTGTCGCCGACCATTCATACAACTGGAGGTTCATTCGTCTCTGTATGGGATTTGTTAGTTGGATTGAAATGTTCATGTTGTCAAAGCCATTGAAGAATTCCTGGATATGATTTTGAATGTGCAGCATAAGTGGGCAGCTTGATAGCGACTTTCTCAATACATATATACAAACATGAATAATTATTGCAGACCTGTACCTTTAGGTGACGGGAGTTATCTAGTAGAAGGATAATCTTCATGATAGCCCTTCCCCAATTTGTAACAGCTTTATATGGATTCCAGAGCACTATGTCTCGGAATTTCCATATAGCTTATAGAACGCGGAACCTCTGTTCTGGAGTCATGGATTCAAAGTCATTACTAAAGACTTTTATTCATGTGGTTATTTCGTGGCAGGACAGTCTAAAGCCTACATTACGCATCGATCTACCTATATAGAAAACGAGAAAAGTATAGGTCACTCAAACAAGACGACATTCGCCGTACTTAAGAGCATGCCGTTCCATCAACAGCCATTAGAATGTAATAATATTTAATTATTATTACATTCTAATGGCTGTTGATGGAACGGCATGCTCAAGCAGTAGGTTCCTCCGTGTTTCTACTTCCTTCTTTTCCTCACCAGGGTACTTGAAATTGCAGGATTGTTTTGGATCTACGGTAAAAAGTGTGTAACCAGTACTTTTTCCCGCCAGGAAAATATAGATAATGAGTCAAGGGATTTCCATATATGATGCTGATGGACTCATGGTATTTTCCGATTACACTTGTTTCAGAGAGTCAGCATAATTCTGAGTAAACTTTGAAGATGGTTAAAAATTCTTAAACAATGCCATGCTTGTTCGTAAAAACTATGTGATCGTTTCTGTAGTGTTATCAACAATCTTGCGCAAACATATTTTGAAAAAACATAGTAAAATATCAGTTCTCTGTGATAATATTTATTTCCGTGCAATACGTAACACCCTTTTTCTTGATCTGATCTGTGTGAATTATATTTAGTAACTGTAGACTTTATTATACATGTAATTTGCTGTTAAAATAATTTAAATCATTTACATTCCTGATTAACAATTTCTCTAGATTCTATCTCATCTGCTCTGCATGTACCTTTTGGCTACACCAGGTCCAATGCATGAAGGATATAATAGCATTGACTATATAACACTACTATGATAATAGTCACTTGTTCCCTATATGAAGGACAGCTTGTTGCCCAACTATCTATTCGTTTTAACACAAAAAATGTTTTCTGATGTGTTAAAAGTTAAGTGTAATTAATTTATTTTTTGTGTTATGTTGAAATTTTTGTAAGGGACAATGATTTTGAGCTTATAATAAAACTGGTGTAATTTCAATGAAATCAGGACTACAGAGATGGGGAGAAATCCTATTTTTCAGAGTCCTGGAGCTTTGAAATATATTGTTTATACCAAATAAATTTACTGTTTTTGAATCCCTACTCAAAATTATGATCACGTTGAGCCAATATATTTGATCATACAGTGAAGTACGTTATATACCTAACAAATCCTCAATAAACCAAAGACCCAATTAGTACAGGTTTCCAGATTAGCAAATCGCGCATTCATCCTTCACCGAGTCCTGGAAGACGGATGGGCAACAATTGCAGAATAGGAAGGATTGAAGGATCTAAGGATAAAAGGATTGAAAGCGCTCGAGGTGTGGGAACTGGCGTGATTCATTATGAACTCTCAGGCACAAATCAAGTCTCCAGGAAAGGGAAGGATCAGGACTACCGAGGCGGATCTCTGCGGCGGTACCGTTTACCACTGGAGCTGCCGATGCCTGAATCACCAAACAGTCTGGCTCAGGTGGACTGGAGAATAGTGGTCATGTAAAAGGGTTTGATTATGTACATCATTTCTATATAGCCAACTTTTTTATATTAATTCATTTAGTGGTTTAATTCTGAAAAAGTAAGAAGCTCTCTTGTGGTTCGAAACTGGACCTAAGAATATTTGACCGTTAGATGTCCTTTGATTTGCTAAAGGGCTGATCTTTTTTTATTAGCAAAGCCGTTGACTCATTCAAACCCCCGTCTTCGTATACGCACTTTGGATTGTCGTTGTCGAGTGAATTTAACGTATCCATAGAAATTCCGATTAAAGGTCTTTGTCGCAATTTGAAACGTCTCATGAACTCCTGCATCGTGTCCTGTGTGATGCAACATTTACTCCTCAAACAAATATGCAAATATCTTGGGGTATTGAAATTAAAGAAATGAAACTGATAGGTTGGTTTAAAGGTGACTTAATTCATTTCACTTGATGGAAAAGAATAGAAACTGCACATCAGTGATAGACTGAACACAATGATGCCATAAGTTAATGTTGAATGTGTATGGTTAACTCGTTTTAATTGCATTAGATGGATTTCGTTACATAGGGAAAACTCGACTTTGTTTTTAAAAGATTACTTCCCTAACACTTTGCAAAAAAAATAACGTGAATTAGGGGTTTATAGCATCCAAACTTAATATTAGAAGTAAAATAAAACCAATTAACTAACCATGTGATATGTTTGATCTGTAAAGGTTATGGTATATGGTGCTTTGTTTTAGTTTTACCAACCAAAACGGTTCACTTTAAAACATTTTGCAAAGGTGAAAATAGCTAAAACCTTCAAAACAGCCTTGAAATGCAGAGATTTCAGAAGCGGCAAAGACAAATTGGTAACTCATAGAAAAAACATAACTAAGTTTCAATGAGCTTAAATCACTTACTGTTTTTCCTATACAAACCAACGATGCAAAAAGTATTTATAGTTTAGCGAGGTTTGTTTCTAGCGTAACCGGCTGCCAAGTGCCGTAAAGGGGCAGAATTAATTGCCACAATTAGCAACAATGGGTTGTAAATACTGCAGAGAATGTCGACTAAGAATGCCGCCATAGAAAGATCGGGAAATTCCGTCAGTCTTCGGAAATCTTCGGAGCCTTCGGGAGGGGTTATTGGGACCATTAAACAACTAATAAATTCCAAATAGGGAACGTCTTTGAAAACCTGTTCTCCTGTAGATGAGGTGGTAAAATCCTGGTGTGAAAATTGTACACGCTGTTTGTTTGGTGCATCCAGGAATTCTGGGATATGGGAATGACAACGTTTTGAACACTTGATCCCTGAAAAACAAATCCTTCACTTATAAAATTGTATTTCTTAATAAACTTCTGTTTAGTAAAATGATCGGCTCCCATCTCGTTGAATATTTTACAGGTTTTTTGTCTGTATAGTGTATGGACATCTATGAATGTATCGTGAAAATGGTACATAGGAAAATTAAATTATTCAGTATCATAGAACATAATACAGTAATTACATTGCAATACTAGATATTACATTTCCATATTAAAGTTTTGAGGTGTCTTATAATGAAAGAAATACGATAACCATTCAACTGAGCTCTCTTTGAAATCAGAACCACAAGGACAGAAATGGCTTCAGTATGTCATGGCAATGATGCTACACACTACAAAATTGTCTGTCTTATCGTTAAACATTTTAAATTGGCTGATTCAAGCTACATTATGGTACTCACCATAGTAAATACACAATACAACCAAACGAAAATGTTCTTTAAAACTAGTACTTAGCCTATCTAGTAGTTATCATAGATTGTTGTTAATTTGCTTTATGATGTACACCTGTTTTCATGGTCAGAGTTATTTTATCAAAGAATAACTGTTGTACTTTTACTCAGCTATTTGTTAAAATGTACTATTTTGTTCCAGAAATGTACAAAATGTGGCTGCTGGTCCTGGCGATGACGCTCGCAGTTGAAGCATTTCCAAGGAGATTCAGAAGAGAAACGGAAACTCCTGAAGAGCCCAAGAAATCCTCAGATCACAGAAGGGGCAAAGCCCTTGGCTACTACCAGCCCTCATATATGAACAACCCCGTCATGTTCGACCCCTCAGGGCTTCTCCAGTACGAGGATGCCCTTGCAGCCGCTCTCGCTTCAGCCACCTACTCAGAAGGAGGGGAAAACGAGGAGAACGAAATCCTTTCAAGGATGCGTCCTGGGTCGAAGAAGCCTGGAAACTCTCCGATCTACTACATACGGCTTCCACCTACCCCTTATATCTACATCCCCGGGGTCGGCTACGTCTCCAACCCTCCAACTCTTCAACCACCCCCGGTAGTCCAGAGGAGGCCTGACTCACAATTCCTCAACGTGCCTGTCAGATTCGTCTCCAACGGGAAGCCAACTGGAGTGTACACACTGGAGAACGACCTGGGCTACAGTCAGTCATCGTCCCCACCTAAGGATTCTCCTATCACTACTTTAGACAAAGGTCCTTACGTCTTCAACGGAAGACCTACTGATATCTACTTGCTGAGGGATGCTTACAATTCACTCTACGCTGATGCCCTGACAAATTTCTATCCTTGATTTCAAGAATTTTGAGGACTTTTGTGGTGAGATAAAAATCTTTGTCACACTTACGGAAAAGCTATGAGTGTTGATTTTAAAATGAACAGTACTGCAAAATAGACAATTATATATGATAAGAACATTCTGAAAAATATTCAATAAATTACAAATATTTTTAATTCTTCAATTTTTTTGCAACTCTTTTACAATCTCTTTTGAAATTGAGAAACTAATAGAAATAAATCCAACAACAATAATGCCTTGTCGGCTCCTTTTGAAATTAATTCCAAACGATCGAATGGAAATGGACCTGTCAATAGGCATTATCCCTTTCTCGACACCTAATGGTAATTGTGGTCTGTCAACAGTCGCGATTTGTGGAATCGTAGCCAAAGGTTGGAAAAATGACTCCTGCAAATTGTAGGCGTCTGGAGTCTAATGATGGGGAAAGTGGAAGCTCAATTCCGGGAGCAAGATTGAAGCAATTAGGAGGAACTAGTTCTGTGACCTTGGCAAGGCCTTGACCTCGCGAGTTAGATTATCGACCCATCGCACTACTGAAAACATTTCGAAAGTTTAACAAAATCTAGATTTCTTTTTACATCGCCAGATATTGGGTTCAGATTCCATTGTAGGTATCGATAGAAAATTATCGGTGAATACGCAAATATATTTGTAAATTCCCAGTTTTTTTATATTTTCAAACGTGGTTAGATGAATAATGTAAATGAATAATGAACCTATGCTTATGTAATGTTTTTCTCTATTTCAGAATAAATATTAACAAACAATGCATATATTTTAATAATAAATATGCATAATACATAACAATCAGAAGGTATTAAGAATATACTGTTCCTCAAATTTCAAAATGTAACATTTGTAGCGGATCGCTCCACATCACCACACATTAATGTTGATATTGAGTATGGTTACTAATGTAAATTTGAAGCTCGATGTGTTATAACACGAGATTTAAATTAATGGTATTTTCATTATAGAGATTAGGTTCAGAACGTCATGTTATAGTTCTAAGTATGAGAGTTTAGTGTGACATGTTGTATGTAACTGTATATTTATTATGTATGTAGTTCATATTGAAATCTTTGTATATTCTATTTTGTACAATAGGCCTTCTATCTTTCGTAGTATTTTAGTATGATGTAATTCAGCATTCGCTTTTTAAGTATATTTATATCAGAACGATCATTAGTACAACTAAAACTAATTATTTTATGTAACAAAATTTCAAAATAATAACTTTTTTAGAACATGTAAGCTTACAAGTATTAATAATTTTCGAAGTAACTTATTAGTCATAAGAAATTAAATTAGATTCTATGGATAAAGAATAAGATTTAGTTTTACTAATTTAAGTGTATTTATTTATTTTTTCTTACATTGTCGTAAGAAACCTATTTATTCATGTTAAATAAATATTTATAAGACTTCCATATTGTAAATCAAATTTATTTTTATGGTTAACTAGAACTAGTTGTTCTAGTCGTAAGCATGTAAATTGTTTGTGTTTAGTTGTTATTGTGTTTGTAATATACAAGGTATTAATTGTTTCCTGTTGTTTCTTTTATCCTGATTCTTTTGGCCAAACAAACATTCCAGATTAGTCTGTTTTAATGTAGTGTTTTAGCTATTTCGATAGCTAGGGGTTGATTTGTTATCGAGCTCTCTAATCAATCAAATTATCTTTATTCATTTTATACCATTTTTTATAGGCAACATGAATAGTGTTAAAGCATACAAAATTGGTTATACAATTTAATCTAAAAAACCTAACCATACAATTTGACAACTATTTTAGAATGGATAGCTAATTCATTTTTTATTTAGAAACTCTTCTATTATATATAGGGAGCCAGATTGATTTTAGTTTCTTCAAAAAATTGGGGTTGTTTTTAACCTTTTCACAGACTTTTTATCCTTAATCTTTTAATAACTCTAATGGCCTGTTTTCGTGGTTTTAAAACCTTCTTCAAATTTTTCAATGTTTAAATGTTTTATGCTGTTCCACCGTAAATTTCGATTCTATAACCAATATGACATTCTATAAGCGAGTGGTATATCATTTTTAACACATCTTTATCACAGAGATAAGTTATTGATCTTAAAACAAACAAGTCAGAATTAATTTTACCAACCAAATACTTAATATGTTAATTCCAATTTAGATATTCATCAATTATCAGGCCTAAATATTTGGTTGATTTAACTTGATTGGTTGGGTTATTATTTAGAGTAATTTTAGGGGTTTGATCTTTTTTGATCTTATTTGTTTGAAAGAGAACCAAATTTGTCTTGTTTGTATTTAGTGTTAAATTGTTGTTTGTTATAAATTGTTAAATATTTTTGGGCTCCAATTCAGTAGAATTTTTAACATCAGTAATTGAATTACCCGAAAGTTTTAAGATTGATATCACCACTTGTTGACCCAGTCAGTGCATTTGGGAATTTTTTTTAATGTAGCATATAAATAAAATAGGGCCCAAAATAGAACCCTGAGGATCCCCTGGATGCATTTGTAGGAAATCTGATTCTGTCTTTTGTATCCCATTGTTTTTTTATAAATAAGAGAGTTCTACAATCAATCAATTCGATCAGAAAGTCAGCAACTTACTGATTATTCTAAACTAGACCCAGCCATCCTTGATCGGGCCATTTATTAACTAACCTATCGTGGCTGATGAGACGGTCGATCTCACAGTAAAATACAGACACAGATCAACCATTCCACCACTCACCTCCATTCGTCGACAAATTATTCCATGCACACCACTTGCTGAAGAGGTTCTACACACGCACAGTGCGCAGTTCTGCACAACTCTTCTGCAGGTCTGCAGGCTGTTCACCGATCACAGCTGTAAACTTGTGCTGTTAAGTGGCCAACCGGTCCTAGGCCAATAAAATGGGGGATAAAACTCCAAATGGCCCTTCGACAAGTGACCAAGTGACAGAACGTATACACAGCCAGGGTTATACATTCACTTAGCATTTTATAGGTAACATGTTTAATTAGCATTCATGAAACGTAAACATTTCCTTGTACAAGAGGTTGTTGGATTTTCCTGCATCGTAAATTCAAAATTCGATGGAGGTTAGATTGCATTCTGTGAGATGCACTAGGGATTTGGTATCTCGATCGAACAATTTTGCCGATTTTGCATGTTTTGAAATACAGTACAAGGTAACACAGTCGTGTTACCCAGCCATCCCCTAAGAACCATCCCCTAGGAAGTCTCCTAGAGCCAAGATTTTAGATCATACTTGGCTTAAAATACCTACTTTGTATGGTCGCCATTTCTTTGAAAAGTATTAAAGTAAACCTGGAACCTTGCAATGCTTTACAATTTTAACGTGAACAAGCTTAAACTTTTGGAACAGGAGTCTCTTGAACGTAGCTGAACAAAAATATAAATTATGAATTGTTTAAACTGTTCGGTAACGGACACAAAGTTTCCAAAATATTCTTGTGGTAAGTACAATACAAATCGACCAGTGGAGTAAATTTAGCAACTGCTTCTAAAAATTTTCAAATCAAAAATATTCTCACCCTTAAGTAACTCTACTATAATTTTTTAAAAATACTGTAATCCATTTTCTACTCCATATCTCAAATGTAATAGTCAAAACTGGGAACATCTTTACTGTGATTAGGCCAAGACCCTTACCAGGCACAATGGAAGTTTAATACGCGACGAGGAAGTCAAAGGTCAGTTAGACCTCAACTGGAGGTTGTACATGTAATGACTACGTACTATATAAATATTACGCAGGGTCAGGGGTCATGGGCCTGGATGGTTGTGTCTTCATCTTGAACTCTCTATACACTGTCTTCACTTTATAAAGCTCTTTATCTTGAATGTATTTCGTAGCCATCATTGTCTTCATTTCATGTCATCTTGTATACAAAAAGTTTGTCTTCAACCTAGATATTCCTTGTGTTATACTACTCTTTATCTTAGATACAAGCATTGACTATTGGATACTGTAGTAGACATCCCATGCATATGGAACAGCCGTCTATTTTTTTTATTAAAAAAGAATATAGTTATGTAAACCAGTCACAGAATGTGCTAGAGTCTAAAATTCCATTTTCTACCTTATTTATTGTTGCTGGCCAAGTTTATGGGTCATAACAATTGCTATTAGCCTCCCATAAGTCATTCTATTAGTTTGACTTTGTCCTTTATGCCACAGAAATCAGTGATTTAGATCAGCGCAATCTATCGGTGGCTCACATCAACTAAGACGATTTTGATAAAAAAAAATAGTGATAAATTTTAACTAGTAGTACTAATAATCAAAGATACAAGGTTCCGTCTTCGTCTTGAATGCTCCATAGTCTCTCTCCATTATAGTTCTTTATCTTCTGTAAAAGGATTGTCTTTATCTTAGACTGTCTATATGAGAGACTTCATTTTAAAAGTTTTCTTATTTTGAGTACAAAGTTTGTTACATAAAATTGTTTGTACTAATTGTCTTCTATCTAAGTCATTCTTGATGTCCAATTAGATATACTTTTTACGCTAATCCTCACCATAAGAGCCTACTGCATACTTTCTTAGTGCAATTTGGGTGAACTGCAGTTTTTCATATTATGGAACACAAATTTTTGTATGAACACAATTTTCACGTGGAATTTAAACAGACTGTTTTAATTATTCTTCGTTCTTCATCTTTTGTACTGTGTCTGTAGTCTTCAAGCAAAATGATTCTTCAATTTGAACGCTCTCCTGACTGTCAACATTATCTACTGATTTTATAATTTGTTAATGCATTGGAAGCCACTTCACTTGAGACATTCATCAAATGTTGTATTGACTCTGTGCATTTTGTCTTGGACACATTACACTCTTTTCTCACTGTTATTGTTTATTATATGTGGTTGCTCGATTTATGCCTGAAGTTTTCACTATCATAGACTCATTGTTTGGACTTGCTTTAATTTTTTTTTATAATTATGAACATTCTGAGTATAACCAAATTAAATGTCTCCTTAAACATCTTCCGTATTACTTGCAAAGGCTTGTTTCGCGTTATTTTTTTTTTATCTGTTGCACTGAAATATTTAATAGTCAATGAATATTTCATCTTGACTTAAAAGTACTTACACATACAACTACCCCATAAATAAAGGTACTTATTGATGTTTTCTAAGAAAGGCATAAAACAAAGCAGAAATTATGTTTGAAGCTGTTGTTTTATTGGCTGATATCATGATACTGTTACAAGCATAGGTTGATGTTGAGAAGTGGGAGAGCTAGACAGGCGAGAGACGGGCAGCAGTTCCCCCCTTGGCACTAAAAAATAAAAATACATATTAAGAAAATATCATTGGGTTTTAGGTACTGAAGTAGACACCTCATCTGTAAGTACCATATGTCACCACAATTTATAATAAAACGAATATAAATCAATAAACAGGCATAGGCTGTCAAAAATATATATTTTCTCCTGTTTTCATCACTGATATTGTTAATATCATTGGTAGCTGTGTTACCAATAAATCAAAATGTATTAAAAGAGAGGATTAAAAACATTTAACTATTAGTTAATTACAAAATAGCTAGAGTCTAGATGACTTGTGGAAGTAAAATACGATATCCTTATAATAAGATATGAAGGAGTTTTTTTTTATGTTAACTGCTTTAAACAAATTGCAAACGGGCTTGGTTGTAATAATTAGGAGTATTTTTATGTCAACTAGATGTTTACTTAAGTAATAGCCTGTTTATCACACCTGATATGAATAACACGGAAAATAGAAGATAACTTAAACATAGGTAATTGTTTGACAAACCGATAATTAGACTATTATCATCTACTCATCCTTATTTTATAACACCATAAATTTTCAAGTTTTATTATTTCAATAGTATGTTTTGATTATTCAATTTTGATTATTAAATTTTGTTATTCTTATGAGGATATAGTTGTAGTAAATTTCTTTATAGGGAAGTAAATATTACCGCAGTCGACGCCGGAAAGATATTTAAAATTTCTCATAAGCCAAATTATTGTTTGTTCAAATTGTTATGTATTATGTAATATATGGATCTTTGGAATCCACCACAAATACTTTTAATTCATCTGATATCAAATGGTGCTATACACTACAAAGTATAATAATAGGCCTAATGACAAATCAATAAACAGAATGAATATACCTATTTTAGAAAACAATTTTAAAAATTGGATGGCAGCCATTACAAATATTAGAAAACTTTTTAACATAAATAATCTTGGGAATTGTGGACCAATAACGAGCTCGTTGGTATTAAGGAGCCGTCCACAAAGTAAAACTCATTGTCAACAAAAAGTCATTATTATTTCTTTATGTTGTATAGTTGTCGAGAAGTAACATATTTATATAAAAAGTTTCAAAGGAAAACATAAAAAAGCAATATCAGCAAACCAGGAAATAAAAATTGATTTTTCACCACCACTTTGTCACAACATGGAAATTTTAGGAGGAATTTTAAATGCAAATGTATAGGCCTACTCTAGAGGTATCCATTAAATTTTTAAATGTATATAACAACTTCTTCCTTTAACATCTTCACTGAAAGTTTCTAAGGCTGCCCCAAAACCCCTTTTCGGGCCTATTTTTTTTAAATACATATTTTTCACCCTGAGCTGATCCTGTGACTAAATCAATATCAGCACCTTCGTCAATCAGCTCATACTGTGGTATATTGATTTACTTAATTTTATATTATTTTAAAACTTTCCACGAAGACAGAATGTTTAACAAGCTATTTTACTAGGTAAAATACCGTTGTTGTAGCCTACATCTAGATTAGGTATATTTTATATGTTTTCCATGCAACTATAAGGACTATATTTTACACATTTTTTCCTTAAAGCAAATACTTCCTCTCTAACTTTCCAAACCCTGGGCTACTACATCTTCTTTGTCAATCTAGCAACCCTTTTACTAATGATAAAGTTAATTTAACCGTTCACTGGGGAGTATTATTTATAAACTGGGTATTTAAAATAAACGGTATAAACGAAATTACACGTATTATTTCTTTTTGGCAGTGGCGCTTTTCCAGTGTCTATCTGGCCCTAGTGGACTGATCTAGAAAGCCACTTTGTGGGGTTCAGGGGGGCCCAAAACGGATATTTCCCCCCACATTCAAACTCCAAAATTTTAAATAAAACACTCATTTCTCCATAATCAGTACTGTCTATAGGAGGTAGAAAGTGAAATTTATTTTTTTTTAATTTTTATTTAAAAATTTAATTTTTAAATTTTAATTTTAATTTTTGATAGGTCTATACTCAATGCTATTACCCAGCGACAATTATATCCACATTAATTTACATAACTTAAAAATCACAATTATAACTCAAAGCAAAAACTTACTCTTTGATTTTTCTCCGAACACTGGCTGCTACCCCCAGTGAGTCCATCTAGAAGCCCTCTAGTTTGGACCCTACCGTCCTGCAGACCCAGTGGCTCGGAACCCACCACCACCAGTAGTGCCAACACCACGACAGCCAGCTTCATGGTTGGATTGTGAAGTTGCATGTGGTCACTGTATTATATGTCCACTTATCGTATCAGAGACCTTCATACGCGTTTCCGCATATAAGTGATATTGGGTAATTTAGTGGGCAAGTACAAGGTCAATAAGTAAAGTGTAAGTTTTCCTAGTGTGTAACTGAGATATGTGTGATAGTTATATCAACAAAGGTTATAAATAACTTATTGATGTGTTAAATATTAATGTAATTATCTTTTTTAATTGAGTTGGTTATATTATTTTATAAAAGCACACAAATCCGGATTGGGACCCAAAAAATCCGAAATAATAAAAGTCTGGATTGAATAAATTTTACCATGTTCTGGACCTTTTTGGTACCTCTTGTATAATGACAGTGTATTCTAAATACTTTTTTTTTGTCCTAAGGACGATAGGCACGAGCCTGGGATTGTTTTTCACATTACTTCAGGCTAGACCTAGGGGCTGCGGCATTATCACTTAGATAAAATCCATTGGTGACCTTGGATCGAACCCGGGACCTCAGGGACTGAAATCCCGTGCTCTAACCACTACGCCAGCTCGCTCCCCCTAATTCTATTCTATGTATTCTAAATACTAAGGAGATCTCAAAATAAAAACAATAGACATTATAAATTGTGCATGAAAACTGTAAAGTGGTCCATTTATAAACTTAGCTGTCTTGTTACACACTGCTGCTAAATGGTTGTCTAAACTTAGCAAATTCAGTATTAATGTCCCAGAATTAAGATGGTGTCCTCTTTATTTAAATATAGGTTAAACCAAAGCAAAGTGAATATAATTTTCTCCATTGATCAAACAAAACTGTTTTTTAGAACACCAACAAAAACATTTTGCTACAACTGGGTAATACTAATAGGGGTCTATACTAGTTCATCGACCAGCTTTTCTTAAAATCATGTGAACTTTTAAAGCATGTTAAAGCAGAGCCCTCAGGATATTGGCCTGTAATTCGTTCAAACTAATACATTCTTAGCAAATTTTGTTTAATGACCTTGCTTAAGCGATGATCACAAATTTTACTGTATCACTTGAACCATATAATAGATGTATGCAGTTAACTACCTCGAGGCAGTACGTATATACAGCAATGTTATATGTCTGCATCCAAAAAAGTAGTTTTAAAAAATAAGGTGTAAATTTTGTTTATGGGGCATTTTCACCATGTTTGTAAACCTTGTCACGTGACATCATAGTAACTACGGTGTCCTAGCTCTGTCACAACGTATCAACCCGTGAACTAGACCTCTGTTATACACGTGTGTACATGTCTACAAGGTCATTGTAGCCTGTGTTAATCGTTCCGTCAACACCAGAGTGTGCTGGTTACTCGGTGTAACGGTCTTGAAACACTGGAAGAGCCATGTCACTTACCTGCACGCCTCTCGTCCACTAATCTGTTGGAATCTCTAAAAGTAATTGAATATTGTACTTATTAAACATATTTTGCAATGAGAGTATTAATTTAAACCACAAATTTGATGAAAATTAATATTTAAATAAATGTATTTTATGTGACGACATTTAATTATAACACAGAAACGCCACCCAGCTATTTATTTTAAGCTGAACATGAATAGGAGAAGTATAGAAGTGAAATCTGTGTAGTTTTGTTGACTAAGATCAGCTGTTTCATTAACCCCCATTTATTAAAAGTCCAATGATCGAAGAAGGCTTGTTCACCACGAAAGATTCAGTACAAATTCAGTATAATAATGACATATAGGAATAGCAGACAGTCTAGATATTCTAGGACTCTATTTGTATCTAATAATGCACTAGAACAGATTCTCTTGTATACCACAGGTATCTCTAAGGTTATGGCATCTAGTTATCAAGTGACTTTCGTATCAAGGCAGAGCGCAATAATAAAATTAACTAAAGCCAGGTGACTATAGTACAAAACGTTATGTTCTCCTAGATTGGTTCTGCTAGTTAAGTGTTTTATTGAATTCAATTCCCAATTATGTAAAACTATCGTTGTGATTAATACGAAGATTCTAAAAAAAACATGTTTAGCACATAATAAAGAGTGTATGTTGCAGTAAAGTTATAGTAATAGTTAGTGATAATGTTCACTGTATATGTTGAAATAGAAATTCAAGATCACCTGAAGCCACTGTTTAAAAAAAAGTAAATAAATAAATAAAAAACTTGGAAGAATGACATTGCATAGAATGTAATAAATAAAATTTACATCAAACATGCTATACCTAAATATGTTGATTTTTCAGTTTGATGTGATTAAATACACTTCTTATTGATAGCATAGCACCCTAACGGTGGTGCAATTGAATCAAGTTTTTTTTTTTTAAACTAGTGATAACACTTTTTCTTTATATTGGTCAGAAGTAAAACATAGGAATTTATTTCCTATAATTCACCGTAGTCTATCTATACTAAAATGATACCTACCTGAATTATTATCAGTGTCAATGAATAACATAGCTTTATTTATGATGCATGTTAAAAATTAATAACGACAAGGAAATGGTCAAGTCATTCGTTTATACGGTTAAATCACCATGCAAGGATGTAAATATAGACTTGACAGTTAGCACATTAATTATATGTGTGCAAACTGCGTGAATTCCGTTAAGTCAACAATAAACCTACACACACGTGTGTATATAGCTCCACTACACACGCACACAAATGTAAGAGTACAAAAACGTATTTTTAACTCAGGTACGTTATTAGTAATGTGTATCTAGCTAACTTTTTGTTTACAGCTAGTTCATATAAATGAGTAAAAGTAATGAAATTTTTCAAAATAAATACTTAACACATTTGACTAAAGATTCACATGAAATTTCTACGTTTCATTATCATAATGAAGTGTAACTACTTATTTCAGTCAAGTTGACAAATAGAGAAGCTATGTAAAGTTTTGTTTTGTGACGCATAGCTTGCATACGTGGTATTGTATGGCTGGGTAGCAATTCTTGATCATTTGATCTTATATGGTTATGGTTATGGAAAAAAAATATTCTAGTCAGTAATATAGTTGCACAAAGCATCACACTCATTTTTCACTCAACTTCTGCCTTATAAATACGGACAAAAATGCGTCACGGTCCTGATCAAGTTCATTTTCAAAAGCAGCTTCACACTATTAATTTGATTATGGTCTTACATCAATTCAAACTAACTTTAAACTACTATCTTCGGCCATGAATAGAACTAGACTTCTATTTACATGTTAAATCTGTTGTGGGTTTTAGACTGTACATGAAAATAGTGAATTAAGCCACCAAACCTAACCTAATCTAACCTAATCTAATCTAACCTAATCCAACCCAACCTAACCTAACCTAACCTAGTAGTCTAGTCTAACCTAACCTAACCTAACCTAACCTGTAGAGTACACTGATGTAAACTACTGAGTTCTGTCAAAAAGATCTTCCGATTAACAAGGAAAAACTGAAAAATGTACCAGTCAAGAAAAAATTATTGTTAGCTATATGTAACATTGACATTAAAAAAAAAAAAACTAAAAGATAAAACAGAATTGTAGACTGTAGCACAATCAGTGGTTGGCCCAGCCAATTTAAGTTTGTTTTTAATTGTACTGCAGCTAACTGAATGTAATAAATACTGTACCATCCAAAAGTCAATGCTACTAAATTAACTAACACTTCAACACTAAACAAGTAATATTTTTACCCTTCAACACCCAAGCAACAAATAAGAACGCCAACAGACAGTAAAGAACACGCAAACACCATCTGTAAAACAGCTGTCCGAGTTTCTACCACTATGATGGCCTTATAATTGCAGCTAGATGGTCGCAATAATATCTGGAAACTGAACCAGTCCCTGGATAATAGACGTTATAATGTTAGAGAAAGGGAACTTTCCCCGCAAATAAGGTTGGTAAAAACTACACGATGCGTTATAGCTCGTTTTATACGAGCTCTAACTGTTTAATTGGTGGAAAATAGTGCTGGACTGCTGGGGAGTTCGTTTTGTTTGAGGCATTTAGGCTTACTTGTTTAGTGAATGAATATATATATATGGAATTTTCACTCACGAATTATTAACATTATATTATATGTTCAATGTTCGAGTTTACTCAGAGAAGACTTCTAGCAAAGGCCTTACACCGAATATTTTACAGGTTAATCTTGTTTCATGAAAGAACATACAGTTTATACGATGTATAAGTCTAGGTTCCAACCGATTATTTAGTTTTCGAATTAAGTTTTAGAAAAATTTTGTTTCAAATTAAGCTTTAGAAAAATAAATCAATTTTTCATAAATTTACAAATTTATAACGTTCTGGAGGTTTCCTCTAAAAATTTGATAGGGCTCTACAACCCAAAATAGCTATCTCTGTACTGAAGAACTCCCCATACCACAAATGCACAAAAACAAATAACTTTATGTACAAAAATAAAGTTTTAGCAAAAAACTATGAATAAAGCCCAACACATTCTTTAAACAAAACTCAAAGTAAACAAACTGTTTCCACAAAAATGTTTTATTTAAATCGAAAGTCAAAACTAGCTGCAACTATCACTACTGCAGAGGCTGGTCCGGTTCACTGGGCTTCTGATTGTCTGTTGAAGTAATTAAGACATAATTCTACGACTAACGAATGGTCCAATTAAAGGAAGCGATCTCTTCGCTACTTCCGTGTGTACGTGTCCGACCGCCAACGAGGGAAACAGACTTCGTAGTTCTTGTATTGTACTTGTAATGTGAACAACGGAAAAGACAATTAATTGGCCATTTTCTATTTGTATTGACCATTGGTTTTGATAGTACAGTACAAGTAAACTTCTCATTCATAGTTTCAATATTTTGTGACTTGTTTCATGTTGGTAAAGTTTGACTGATGATGAACAAATTAATAATTTTGTTTTAAGGGGAAAATGCATCGTACCTAACAGATTTTGCTTTTTACGTTGATTAAAAATACAATTTTTATGCATATACATTACGAATAAAATACTATTCCTTTTCAAACAATTAAAATAGTTCAGCAG